ACCCTGGAATATATATCACAATGAAACTTGATCAACAAGACAATGAAAATCAATCATGAGATATCACAAAAGACTCTCAAAATACCGCATTACCAAATTAACCATATCCAAGACAGTATCCTCTCAATACAAGCCAAAGTTGGGCAAGTTCCAACTTCAAACTTCTGCAAGGTATACACAAGACTTTGTATGAAACTAAAGACATGAAAGAACAACGCTCCCAAACTCAGAGAAAAATACCTTTATCTCCAAGCAAGTTAACAGTTAGCTTAAAAAAACCTGGTGTTGATATAAATACATACACACACGTGTGATCAAGACTGTTAAATATGTAAGCAGATTATGATTATTTTTCTGAAATAAAAGGTGACAAGAAGGATGTTGCAATAGATAATCATACTGCCATATATCTCTGGAGGCCTAGTAATGTAGAACCATAGAGAGAGAGAGCTGAAAGGGACCTCAGAAGGCCATCTAGTGCAACCCTCTGCTGAGAGCAGAGACAAATGTTGTTTAACCTGCATTTAGAAACTTCCGGTGACTGAGACTGCACATTTAGATCCTCTAGACCAGCATTTCTCAACCCCTGGGTCGCAACCCAACAATACGTTGCAAGAATATATGAAAGGGTTGCAAACAAACTTTAAAAATGAATTCTCCTTTAATAGAGAAAAACATGGCAAACTGGCTTTTCCCTTGCAGGCTGGCAGAGTTCCAGCTGCAAGAGGCTGCCTGGGGCACACTTTGCCCTCCATACACCCACCCCTTGCCCCATGGAGGGGGGCTGGGGCCTGAGGGTGGGGGGGAGGGGCAGTAGATTGGGAGTGGCCATCAATATTTACAAATGCATCCCAGTACAAAAAAAGGTTGAGAGCCACAGCTCTAGATAATCCTGTTTCCAGTGTTTAGCCACCCCCACAGCTGGAAAGGTCTTTCTGATGTCAAACCTAAATCCTGTTTGTTGCAACTGAGGCCCATTATTTCTTACATATGTGGAGGAACAGCACATTATGTCTCCCTTTATTTTTATGCACACAAGACAACAGCAAAGCCAAGAACAGAGCCCAGGAGTCCTGGTTCTTAGTCTCCTGCTTAAAATCATTTGTAATATTTAGCCCTACAGTTGCCTATTTATATTGTAGAACTCAAAATTAATGTTCAAAGAACTTGGAAACAGAGGAAATGGAAGACTGCAGGAAGAAAGGGCATTAGTCCATGATTTACACACAATGTCTTATTCAAATAGCTTATTTTTTCAAGTGCAAATTGACTGGCTGCAGAAGCAGTAAGAGGCATTGGTACAAGGGACTGACTGTCAGAATCAATGATAAAAAGACACAAAAGAAAAAAACCTAACAGTATATGTTCCATGCCATAGAAAAACCTATATGAATCTACGGCTGAGAAGAGGATGAGGTAGTTTCTGAAGTACTGCAGCAAAGATGCAGTGGCGCAGGCCAGTGACCAGAGTTACAGACCCAGGATCTCTGGAGGGCTTGAACTCACATTGCAAGCTTCTGTACTACTGCATCTTCCCTGCTACTGCTACCCATGCTAATTTAAGTATTCCTGCCTGCACCACAATGTCAACTTAATTTTGCTAGGCAGACATACCCTACATGCCTGTGAGAAATTCCACTGAATTTCATGGGATTATTGGGAACCTTAAAGTTATTTGTCTGCATAAGGGTATGCAGGATCGTGGCCTAAGATCTTTTTCACATTGGTTTTCAAGCACAAGATTTAAAAAGAAATATTTCTGTATCACAAGCACAAGCTAGTCACAGAACATGCATTATTCAAGATTTTTAGTACAAATTTCCTATTTGATTCTAGAAGTGGTGTCACAAAGCAAGTCAGGCATAAGATGCAGGAAAAACTGTATAAGTGCATAACAGCTTGATCTCACACATCTTAAAATACCTTTATTTATTTTCCTCATACATACTGACGGTTCACCAAAGGAACATTAGCAAGATTAGTGGGCCTACCATTTGACCTAAATATTTTGGTTTATAAATCATTTGCAAAGCTCCAGTAAAGTTCTACTTACAACAAACACATGACTTAGAGCTCTTTTTCAAGAAAACTGAGTATGTTTTACTTTATGCACTTTATAAGCAATATTTAATTTGCAACATGGGGGAACTTACAGTAATAAACTGATGCATATATACCTCTAAAGTAAAATATTCCTAATAGGGCAGATTTTGGCCCCAAGGTATTATAAATAACAGTTTTCTCTTTTGTAGCACCTTTCAGAAAGAGAATGTCAAAGCACTTTTTAAGCATAACTCAAGCCTGCTAATGTTTACAAAATAGTACAGAACTATTATTCCACTTTATAGTTGAAGGAACTGATGGAGAAAGTTGAAGCCCACATTTTAAATAGTAGCTTCTATTTCTTTGGGCCAAACTGGAGACACTTTAGATGTGTTATGTGCAAGAGCCACTCACCCACAGATTAAATCAGTAGAAGTTATGGACATCCAGCACCTCCTAAAAGCAGACCTAAATTGTGCACACAAGAATTTAAGCACACCAAATAGCAGGTCCCTTTTCTAAATCTAAGAAGATTTAGCAGACTTGTCAGCAGTCAGTGAAAATAAGGGGTAGAACTGAAACGTCTCAGCTCCCAATTCCTTGCTCTGCCACTGGATAACACTTTCTCTAGACAGCTCTGGCAGGCAGGGTGGCATGCATAGACTACCTTGTCCAGAGGAGCCAGGCTATAACCTCTACAGAGCTTTGTTCCAATTCTCCACATCATTGCTAAATTTGGTTTACAGGAAGGGTTAGTCATTGCAGTCACCCAATCACAAATCCCAACATTCAGAATTAATATAAGACCCTCAAAATATTAAATATCTTGTAAATCATGAGGTTATTAAGAAGTAATAAAATATGCATTCTTTTTATCCGCTTCCTGGTTTTTGTGCCTTTAGGAAAACGGGGGTCATGTTTTCAAGCTTATCTGCACCCATACAGGCTAGAAACTCTGTTTTAAAAAGTTGAGACTTGTGCAATCAAAAGATTCCTACAATAGAGGCTTTAAGAACACTAAATATTGAACAACTACTCATAAGAAAAATCTCTAGATTTGGCAGCAGTGTGTTTCCATTACATGTCATCTAGCCCTCTTCTTTATGGCTCCATTACATATGGCCTAGTCCTTTTCTGAACCTTTCATATGTTGTTGCATAACAGCCGAACTATCTCCTTTGCCTCTCCCTCTCCAAACAACAGGATAACTGAATTGTTCATTTTAATGCAACTGATCTCCTTATCCAGACCCCACCTACAGTAACATTTTTACAGTAGAACCCTACACGAGATCCAACATATTGTATTAGAAGTGACTGCTTCACATTTGCTGCTCAAATGCAGATTCCATAATCTGGCAACATCTTTTGCAATTCCAGAAGCCTTGTACAATGTATGGCATCTAGGACTTCCGCAGAGGGACTTCTCCAGGAAGTGCAACATTTTCCTTCTCCATCCCATATCAGGCGGGGCAAGTATACACTTAACTCCACTTCTCTTCATCCTCCGTACTTAAGGTGTTTGGTAATACTTCAGGGAGAGATCTTCCCTTGGGGGTCAAAGGGCAAAGAGGAACTTGGCATTTTAGTAAGGAAAAAATGCTCTTTTTTAGTATTTGCAATGCAAATCTGTGTTTTGCTGAGCGCACAAGTCTTGTGCAATAGCCTGTGTACACCCATTCGTTCCAACAATGCCTTCCTATGCAATCTCACTGTAATTACACACAGTCATACAGCTGTTGCTACTGCTCTGAGCTACAGTATCACTCTCTAAGCAACTAATCTTAGTCCCTGCATTAGGGCATTTTCCCTTTCGCTCTTTACCCTCCCTTTGCTGCTTGCTGACTGCTCTGTTGTGGAGAGGCTTTGCACATTTTGCAAAACGATAAATCAGGATTTAATCAAGTTCTCATCTTGGCTGTTTTAACATTTTCAACTATTTGTTTTAAAACAAATGCCAAACATGTCCACAGAACGCGAAGCGGGAAAATATCCTGCAGGTCTGCAACCCTGCAAGGTTTTATAAAGCTGAAATAAATCTTTGCTCACATCTATTAAAATAAAAGACTTGTAAGTATTATGTAAGACACTCACATATGTGCGTGGGCGTATTGTCAGCTTTTACTGGTAAACTGCAAAGAAACAGTCCTTTTCAGTTACTGTCACATAAAAGAACTGTACAACTGAGAACAGAATGCCAGGCTGTCAGAAACAATGTAGGGAGCTGCTTTTTTTTCTTTAAATATGATTTCAGTCCCAAAAAATGGTTGCAATATTTGAAAATCAAGGGCCACCTTGTGTTCAAAAAATAATTAAAACATATTTAAGCTTCTTTGCTACAAGCATGAGGCATTAAAAAAAGGAAAAATCTAGCATGCTTTCTACAATGTACCCACGGCAAAAGCTAAATAAGTGCAGCATATTAGCAGTCTTGCACGGAGTGCCATATATGGAGCAGACGAGTTAAGTTTTAACAGAAGCAAAAATTGTGCAAGAGGGAAGGTAGGAGGACAACATCCAACATCTTCAATGCAATGATGTGGCTTGGGGGGAGGGACAAGCGATTTTGATGGACGGCTTTTAAAAGCTTATTTAAAAAAAGACAAAAACCCAGCGAGTGCTCTTTGCTGCGTTTAAGGAGAAACGAGAAGGCGGTGTTTCTCAGGAAGAAAGGAACTCGTGTCACTCACGGCACTTCTGCTGGCTCGGGCTCGCTTGTGCCTGGGGCGCCGGGGGGTGCAGTCAGCTGCTCCTGTCATTTGGGAGCGCGGAGGTGGCGGGGCTGCAAGGGGACACGGCCACAAAGAAACTTAGCAGCGGACCTGCCTCCTCGCTCGTCGTCCTGCACCTAGAAGCTGCAGGAAACGCGCCTCTCTCTCTGTAAACCCCCTGGGGCGGAAACACCCCGATGCTGAAGCTGCTAGAGAAGAAGGTGGGGAGAGAAACTCGTGTGCTCACCTCGGCGGCAGGAGACAGCTCTGGGAAAGGGCGGGGAGGAAACAACTGACAAACGCAAACTTTGTTTCTTTCTCTCCGGGACTCGCTGAAGGCGTCACTTCCTCGTGCTGCGAGGGCAGGAGCCTCCCGGGCCCCTCCTCCCTTTCCCGCCGCTGTGCCACTGCGGGGCGGGAAGCGCAAGGGGGAAGCCCCCGCGGTCCCCGACCCTGCCCCTGCCGCGTGGTGAAGGCCAGGGGAGGATCCTGCCCAGCCGAGGCTGCACCCCGGATTTCCTCACCGAGTGCCTGGCCTGCCTTTAACCTAGAGAGCAAACTCCTGCTCTCCTAATGCCAGTCTTTGAGGTTTGCCCCTATTCTTATTCATCCAGCCGTCAGATGTGCTGCTGTCTCATGAGTACAGGCACAGAAAGGTTTCAAAATTTAAGAACAATTTTTCCAACTGTTTTGTTGGTCTAACAAAAGATATCGCGTCTACCCAAAGAACTTTGTCTGCCAAAGGTTTTTACAGCGCCAGTCAGAGGGACTCCCCCAAGGTCCCCTAGAGTTGGACACGCTGCTTCAGTGGCTGCGCAGGCCAATGTAGAAGGAATTATGTGCTTAGGCCCATGCGTAGGCCTCCTACTATAAACAAGCGCATTCAAAGCAGTAGTGATTGGGTTGCGTCCAGCCGAAGTCATAGGGATGTGATCCACTGACCCACTGAATTTGCTCTAATGAGCAAGGAGAGTATCAATCAGTGGCGATGTGTAGGGGGTGCACAGGGGTAGGCGCATGCACCCCCTGACTGGCTGCACTCGCCACTTAGGCAATGTGCAGGGTGGGCAGGCAGGAGCGCTGGTGCCCCCCGGCAAACACGGCTGCTTCTGGGAGTGGCTGCAGCGATCGCAGTGGCTGTTGCAGGATCACCTGGTGGGGAGCCTTCCCTACCCAGTCAGCAGGATCGCTCACAATGGACCTCCCCCCAGTTGGCAGCATCAGCCTCGCAGTCAGCGGGACTGACTAAGGCGGCACCAGTCACCCATGAGTATCAAGCAGTGGCATTAGTACCTGCGCTTTTTGGAAAGTGTTCTGGGACCTGAATCTTTCATAAAGAGCAGCAGTGGTAACTGAGAGAAGTGGTTTAAGCTTCATACATTTAATGTGAAGGACACAACCTCTTAAAGCAGGGGGTGGCAATGTTTTTGGGCAGAATGCCAAAAAACGCTCACCTCAACTTGCATAATATTTTGGCATGCCAGGGTCACGTGGCAGGGGAGCTGTGAGGAGCCTGATCTTGGTTGTGGCAGCGCAGCCCCAGCCCCTTCCTTGCCATCTGCCCCAAGGTGAACATGCCAAGCAAAATGCCTTTGTGTGCCATGATCTGACACCCCAGCACTTAAACCAGGCAAGAACATACCAGAGAATAGCTCCACAACTTGGCCAGAATGAGAAACTGGGCTTCAGGAAGTGAACTATTTCACATAACAATGCCCATCAGAAGTATGACAACATCATAACACAAAAGCCGTACCGTGACAGAAATGTCACAGTCCCATTCCATGGTTGCCAATGCTACATTACCCAGAATGCAAGTGTGCTATTGTATTCTTGGAGCTGTTTTAACAGTAGGCATCTCTTAACAGTGTCCATCCCATAGGTACTAAGGATTTTGGGGTCCAAATTACCAGATAGTCACCACAAGAACAAATCAAAGTCATCACAACATGAATAGAAGGCTTTATAAATTGTTTTGTAAATATTTTGGAAGGAGCTCTTCCGTAGCTCCCTGTTGTCATCTCCAAAATCAAATCATCATATTTTTCACTGCAGCAACTGCTGTTGCTATGCTGTCATCTTTTTTTGTTATTATAGCCAAGGTTTGCATAGGTGGCAGACCATGATTCTATCAGTTAGATAGAAACAAATGTCAATATATATGTACTCCCTTTTGGGTCGTTTATTTTAGTACTAAATTAAAACACAAGACATGACAAAATTTCCTAAAAAACAGTTTTATAAAATCTTTAAGTGTTTGTAGCCATATCTTGTACTGGAATAACCACAGCTTTTACAACCTTAACAAGTAGGATTATGCTGAGTCACATATTTGAACCAAAGATTTAAGATGCAAATACCTACATTCTGCAAAAAGTAGAACAGATGTTCAGTAGGTGGCAGTCTTTTCACTGAGTCAAAGCTGAACCAATGTCCCAGCCCCTTTCCTCTGTCTGAAGACAGTACATCCGCATCGTGGGAGAGTGTTTTATGCTACTTGAGCTGCTATCCTTTGGAATAAATGCCTGAACTCTTTTTGTGAACCATTACACTCTTTGCAAGACAGAGTATTAAACCCCATGATTTTGGCCATGTTTCCAGTCGGGTAGCTGCACTCAACCTACTTAAATTTCTCCTGAATTTTAGATGTTGCAGTCCTCTTCAGCTCCTACCTTAAAACTGTTGTTTTGTGTCACCGTGCATAGTTAAATGGTCACACTGTTTGCTTTCATATGTGTATGGGAGAAATATTCCTTCCATCTCCTTTGTCTAATCATAGAGACTGAGATTCAGTTTACTAATGATAGAACAGCTTGAGATTTTAAAGCTGAAAGTTACTATAGATGTACACACTATTATTTTTATACACTTGGAGTTATGCAAGTTTTTTTTTTAATTTATGTAATTTTTTTTAGTTTCTAATTCTGAAGACTGCTTAGGAGAGAATCATTAGAACTATTGGCAAAACTGTACAGTTTAAAATGATATCTTTTAGATGTCTTTTCATCTGCACTATTACAATGGAAAATGTTTATCGGAAAATAGTGTTTTACACAAGAATTATTCTCGTTACAAAGGAAGCTAAATTTCCATTACAAACTCTGCATCAATACTCTCTTTCTCAGAATGAATCCAATATACCTGAAACATTGCACATGTGCTCTTATGCTAGAGGAGACATTTCATGCTAAACTACACATTTCTTTGGACATTTGTTGCAGTTATGATAGGACATCTGGAGATTAAAAATTTTTTTTAAAAGGTGTTTTTCCCTCTTCTCTGAAAATGTCTTACTGCTAATTTTGCTCTTCATATCTGAAAAATCACTAGAAAGGGAAATTTCACCTTATTTTCTTGAATTCAGGATGGATCAGTTTCTCTGACTAGTTACAGTTCGTTATTTATTTATAAAAAAACAGTTTATGTCTACAACAGAAACCCCAGGAGCTGACTTCCTCAGAAAGACTTTGTTAGATGAGAGGAAAGGAGAGACATTGTGGTCTAGTCAACAAACCACATGCGACATGGTAGTCATGTTGCTTAAAGCATTATCTAAAGGAGCTCAGATTCTACGGTGTTGACTGATGAGGCTGATACAGAAATCCCTAAAGCAGGAAGTTGTGTGTCAGACTGGAAACCAGAGACTTGTGAGTTCTACTGGCACCTTTATTAGACTGTATAGTCTTAGTAGTACTTTGCATGCTTTTTTGTGCTTTAATACCCTTTTTCCTAGAAACTCAAAGTACTTTACAAAACTTTGTTATACCTCAGAAAACCCCTGGGTAACATTATTCATGTTACCACTGAAAATACTGAGACATTAAATGACTTATTCAAGGCCCATGAGTGATTCAGTGCCAGAGCTAGGATTAAGTCCTAACTTTCAGGTCCACATGACAACTTAATAGGTCGTGTTATTTCATCTGAGCCAGAGGTTCTCAAACTGTGGTCCGTGGACCACCACTGGTCCATGAGCTCCATTCAGGTGGTCTTCAGAAAGTTTGCGGAACAATCGAGAATATCTGTACTTGTAAGGTAAGACTACTGATATTAAAATATGAGTTGTGTGCTTTGATTTGACCCTCAGCAATTTTCAAGTGGTCCACAAAAAAAAATTTTGAGAACCACTGATCTAAGAAACTTATTTTTTCAAAAACGTCCTCTAATTTGGACTACCTTGCTTTTTGGGTGCCCAGCTTGAGACACCTTCCAGGAAATAAGGCACTGTAGGAAAATGTGCTCTGTTGCCATCCTTGTGAAAAGAGAAAATCCCTCAGCTTCCAGAACTGCAAATATGGCTCCTTTAAAAGCACTATATAACCTTAATAATAGTAGGACAACTAGTGCATGTCAGTGGTCTTGTATTTGAAGCTAGTTAGATTTCTTTACAGGGGGAAAGCATGAGGAGTTCAGAGAAAGAAGCCAGCTAAGGAACTTGGACCTGGAATGACCTTTGAAATCAAACACATAAGCAGCCTGCCATTTTTCTTTTGATTAGCGGGTGTTTTTAATTAGAAGAGCCATTTCTCGTTTGACTCAATAACTCAAGCAAAAAGATTGAAACTATTCATGTTAATGATTTCTTTTAAAAACTGCACAGTGGAAGGAAGTATACTATGCCAGCTATATAAATATTATATATACCATAATATATATCATTATGTACTAAATAATGAGAATAATATATCATTTGTATATTTAGTCCCTCCATCAAGGGATTAAAAAAAAACTTGATCTGTGTGCAGAAGGTGTCTGAAAAATCCCATGCTGTAGGGCTCCTGCTGGTCACCTATCAAGGCCAGAAAAAGAAATTCCCCCATGAACACATTACTAGCTTCTAGGATTTCTTCACCTTTCTGTAAAGCAGTAGTTCTCTACCTTTTAAGGCAGCCCTTGGAAAATGCCAGCTCTTAGTTTTTTACCATTTTGACTACACAAAAAAAAATAGAGCAATTTCTCTGTTGCAAAGAACTCAGAGAGACCACAACAGCTGAGAAGGTTTAAAATTTCTGGGTTTACCTTCTGAATTATTTTTGCACACCTAACAGTGTTAACATTGGGTGGCACCCCATAGAACTCTTGAAAGGATCTCAAGGCACCCCAGGATGCCACAGCACCCTGACTGATAATTGCTGGACATTGGCCATGGCCAGATGGAGAAACTTGGCTGTCGTGTATTGGTAATTCTAATGGTATTAAAAACCTCTTAGCGATCCACCTATTTGGTCTGGCCCATGCACTCAGGGTTAAACCAATTGCCTAATAGAGCCTGGAAGAAATATTTCGCTAGGTCAGATTGACATGGATTGTGGGCTTTTTTGCTTTCCTTTGTATTGTGGGGTATGTTCCTCTTATGTAAGATCACCTGAGTATATCTTAACCTAATTCCCTGCCAGTTGCAAGGCATTGGTGCTGTCATTGCCTCTAGCTCTTTACCTGTAGATCAATCTGTGCACATGAATGCCAGGAGCGTGGGGAATAAGCATGAGGAACTTGTCCTCCTGCTTAACACAAATAATTACGTCATAGGGATAACGGAGACCTGGTGGGACTCTACCCATGACTGGACCATGGGTATAGACGGCTATACCCTGCACAGGAGAGAGAGAGTAGACACAAGGGGTGGGGGTGTAGCTCTCTATGTCAAGGAGAGCTACTTGTCCCGGCAAGCCGATATTGGCGACCAGGATGGATGGCTGGAGACCCTCTGGGTT